ACAGTCATTTTGAACACTAACAAAGCTTCCCTCCCCAAGGTCCTCATGTAGCAGCGAGGGGTTATACTGTCCTTTTGGTTAAATCCAAAAACACAAGAGTAAGAGATGAATTGGATGAATAAGAGGTGATAGCGATCATCGCTTACTGGAATTCACCATCCAGCGCAGGGTGTCAGGGGCCTGCAGCAAAGCAGTACCATTGACTTTAGGAGGGCCAACTTAAATGAGTTAAAGAGATTGGTAGGAGAGGCATTGAGGTCCCTGAGAACAGGGGAACTAGGTGTCTGTCACAGGCCAGTTGGGCACTGTGAGTGCATCAATTTTATCACAGGCCAACTGGGCTGTTTGATTCAGTTTCAGATCAAGGAGGCAAAGTTGGGAGTGAAATAAAGGCAAATTTATTATAGCTTACACACACACACACACACACACACACACACACAACAGTTAACAGAAAGATAAATGCGATAAGCAGATAATGCAGTATTAAAGAGCTAATAGTAAATAATAACAACAGATAGATCAATCTGTCGCAGGGCAACTGGGCACTGCGAGAGTATTAGCCACTGGGCTGTTCAAAACAACAGACAGACAGACATGGGTTGGCAACTTATCGATAGTCCCTCAATGCCAGGTGCATGCCAAGTGATTCCAGCAAAGTCAGGCGTCCCTGTTCGACGCTGTCAGAGGGATTACTGAGGAAGATCCCTTGATCGGGATCTGATCCGCACTCACACCGGGAGGCTGGGGTCCGGGCGTGGAACAGAAATGACCGTTCTGTTCCCTCCTTCCTGCTGGTTACCTGATGCATGTGCTTTTTATACTTAGTCTTATGTTAATCTGTCGGCCTCAGGGCCACTTATAACGTTGACCTATAGCTGTTACCCTATGGGACTGAAAGGTGTTAAAATTATCATAAAAGGTTACTACTCAGACTCGGGTTTATCTAATAAGCAAATTATGATGCAGCACGTTTAGGTTTGAAATTGACATCGCTCTGCCTAAGTTCCAAACCCTTCTAGGCTTCATTTGAATATGCTTTCTTGGGATGTGTTTTCTTGGAATGTGTTGGGTGTGCCAAGCAGTTAGATCCAGCTTTTATCGCTAAGGCTGAACCGTGAGCAAAAAACCATTAGGCCTGCTAATCTCACAGCTACATCTTTGCCTATGGGGCCCAGTCAGTTCCGTGAACAGTTAATTTATCATTTTGGTTAAACTTATGACAGACAAGTTACATTTGCAGTTTACAAACTTACAAGCTTTTATTAACTAATATTACCTGTTTAGGCAAAATACCAAATGCCTCCAAGAAGCACATATTTATTATTAATCCTTATTAATCCCTCTGGTTCTGGCTGTCACAGGTGTCCAAGACGAGTGGTCGCTCCTTAAGGAGACAGTCCTCTGAGCCCAAGGGGTGACAGTCCCAACACGAGTCAAAGGGGGCAAGAATGCTTAAAAGCCCCCTTGGCTGACCAAAAGCATTCAGGAACGTCTGAAAGCCGAAAAGGAGGCGTACATCCAATGGAAGGGGGGGGCTATCACCAAAGAGGATTATACCCCCACAGCAAGAGGCTATAGGTAGGCTGTTAGGAAGGCTAAAGCTGAGATGGAACTAGGGCTAGCAGCAAGGATCAAGGACAACAAAAAGTCCTTTTTCTAAATACATAGGGAGTAAAAAGAAGGCACCAGGCAACGTGGGGCCCCTGCAGGATACACTTGGCAATCTGGTGGTTGCACCAGATGGAAAAACAGACCTTTTTAACAAATTCTTTGCCTCCATTTTTCTGAGCAGGGACTAGGACTTCTCCCCCACCGGGATTCAGGTCAGACTTAGGAGTGACTCCAGCAGGCCTAGGGTAAGGGAGGACTGAGTTAGGGAACTTTTGGAGGGGCTGGACGTGTTCAGGTCCAGACACTCTCTACCCTAGGGTGCTGAGGGAATTGGCAGGGGTCATTGTGGGGCCCCTGGCACGGCTTTATGAGCACTCGTGGTGCTCTGCCCAGGTGCCAGAAGACTGGAAGAAGGTCAATGTGATCCCTATTTTCAAAAAAGGGAGGAGGGAGGACCCAGGCAACTATAGGCCTGTTAGTCT